CTGACAATGCTGGCTTTTTGGCTTAGTAACAGAGATGAGCACCACCCCTACAGTCAAACATGTCTTGACAACCTTGTCAACAGTGAATACATTTACCTTTACTATGTATGGTATATATGTGTGTTTTGTGTGTGTGTGTGTGAGAGAGAGAGAGAGTTCAAATGAGGAAAAATCCCTGGATTTATAATACTGTGAGCCAATACTCTTTTCCAAGACCTCATAACAAAGACCTGATAATATTTCTAAAGCAGATTAAAAATAATCTGCCTATTGTGACCTTCCTCAATGACCTCCTGACTCCTGTCTCATTCCCTTTTGGATAGGCACTTTCATATATAGCAACATTGCTCTGCCAAATATGTCATGAACAAGATAGTATGCATCCAGGTTTGTAGTTCAGCTGAGGAGTGCGAAATCCGTGCAGCACTGTGCTTGCTTTGAATAAAATTTATCTTTGAAAACAATGCTATTTAATAATATTTTGATATTTAACCTTGGATAACAATATGCTCAGTGACTCTATAGATGACAGAGGTAAAGCTGATAACAATTTTATTTTAATTTCTTTCAGATTAATTTAATCAGACCTCATAGATAATTATTTGGCTACAATTCCCTTGTTTACCAAGTAATTATCATTCTAAAAAATCTATTTGGCTTAACATTTAGCATTTTTTCTTTTTTTGCCCATCCAAGGGGATCATAACATTCATGGAATATCTATCAGCCAATTCTTACAAGTTAAAGTAATTAAAAATAAGTCTTTATTATTCTCTGTAGACCCTGAACTATAATAAAATTGAAATGAGTTGTTTAAAAATAAAGTATCAAAGCAGAAAATACTTCTTCAAATATGCAGAATAAAGTCAAAACCTGCTTAGTTCTGCTTAGTTTTACAAGGTTTTAATTGAATCAAAGGCTTCTGAAATTACACAAATTAGGAATGTAAAGCACGAATGATTTTAGCTGCTACACATAAGTCCTGACACTTACATTTTAAGCAGTCTGACAGAAACATAAAAGTGGTCTTCAACAGTGACTTGAGAACTCTGGATATTATCCTGAAAGGAACATAATTTGATTATAAGCTATTATTGGTATGAAAAACTCATTGCAGTGTCTGGTTTCCATTGCACTGCATAGTTGTTCTTTTAGCCTCTGTGCTAGGAACTAATGAAAATTATCTGTATAGGGCATATGTATATTTTAGAAATAATGCTGTTGACACAACTTTAATGACCGTGCCTGCATCTTATAGCATTCTGAAATTTGTAGTTTGGTGAGGCATTAACATGCTTTGGCAAATAAGATCTACAACTCCCAAGCTTTCATAAACTGGAACTGTAGTTTCAAAAACTACAACTCCCAAGCTTTCATAAACTGGAACTGCATTATTTCTACAGTCAAGATGCACCCCTAGTCTAAAAGATAACAATAGTCATAGAAGAAGGGGATTTCTCACTTTTCATCACTTGAGGAATTAACTTGCAGTACCATATGTGGTGATCATAGAAATGTTTCATGGTTGTATCAGGGAAAGCTTTTACCTCAGAGAACAAGATGAGAATATACTTTGGCTAGGTCATATTAGCTAAGGAATTGTGCAGTGGTTCATAACCTGTGGTCTGCACACCCCCAGGGGGTTACAAGGTCTTCACAGGAGAGCCCTGAAAACTTCAGTGTTCCTCAGACCACCACCTCACTATAGTGGAGTACTGTGCTATTTTTTTCCCCTAATCTTAAGGCTGATATTTAACTTGGAATATAAGGGCTGATACAGAGCTCTCCTGTGAAGACCTTGCAACCCCCTGGGAGTGGCGGATCAGGGCCATAGCAACCACATGCCATGGCCTTGATCCTCCTCTTTGCCACTCCAAAAAGAGTGGCAAAAGGCCGCCCTTTGAGCCAATGCTGCAGCTCTTTTGCACCCTTTTGGTGCAGTGTGTATGCATGCTGCACCAGGAGGGCATTCTAACATTGTGCGCTGTGCAGACGGATGCACAGTGTCAGGGTGGTGTCAGGGTGGTGTTGTGCAGTTGCTCCACCCCTACTCTATCCCCAGGCTGGCCTATAGTGCCAGTGTGCATCGGCCCTAAGCTTACCTAGAAATTACAGTGACATAGAAGTGGGGGGAAAACTAACCGAAGAAAGTTATCTTATTGTATGTACCACCTTTACTTTGTTGTTGTTGTTATTTGGTGCCTTCACATTGTTTTTGACTTATGGTGACCCTAAGGTGAACCTATCATGGGCTTTTCTTGGCTCATCTCTTCAGAGGGGTTTACTATTGCCATCCTCTGAGACTGAGAGAATGTGACTTATCTAAGGTCACCCAGTGGGTTCTTATGGTCAAGCTGGGATTTGAACCCTGGCCTCCAGAGTCATAGTCCAATGTTCAAGCCCACTACACTACTTGCACCATTTTCAGGACCATTTCCTTGAAAGGTCTTGATATAAACAGCCTCATATACCATTATGATTTGGTGCATGGATGAACTGGTACCATTTGGTTTTTAGATTATACCAGGGATGAGAACACTATGGTACTCCAGATGTCACTGAACTCCAATACATGCTCCCCTTACCACTAACTTTGATGGGTAGGGCTGATGGCTGCTGAGACTCCAAAACCTCAAAGTCCTCAGAGCTCCCAACATAATATTTGAAGGAACTCACAATCAAAATAGTCTTCCAAGATTTGCCAGCTGATCTTGAATTTTCTGCAGTCCTTCCAGCCTGCACATTCACCAGCAAGGTGAAACAATTTAAAGTTAGTTATAGTAACAATTAAAATTACAATTAAATGAGAAGTCAATTAAGTTGAGATGAAAATTAATATAAGGACTATTTTCAGTTTTAAAAGTGTTTTGTTTGCAATAATGAAATAATATAATTTATATATTTGTTATAAATTTGTAATGAATGGGAATTTATTAAACATTTGAATGTAAACAAGGGTATATGTATTTCTGTTGAAAAATAATATTTATTTATTTATTTTTAAAGAAATGGCACATCCCTAAGTCACTTTTGTACTCTGGCGTGTGGCCTCCCTGCAATTTCCCATCTCTGCTTTATATATTGCACAGACATTAACATAGGGGGGAAGCAGACCAGGGCGTCCAGGACGCCCTGGAATGGTGCGCCGTGGGACCGTGGTATCCGCACCACGGCGCACCAGCGGCGTCCCTGAAAGGAGCGCTAAATTGGCTCTCCTTTCAGAAGTCAGGGAAAGTGCACCCTAAATGCGTAGGGCGCACTTTCCCTGACTTTTCCGCTGCAGCGTGTGCGGACACTGCGGCGGGAGGTTGCCCCCGGAGCGCCGGCCGTGCGGAGGGCCGGCAGCTCTGAGGGCAACCTCGGGAGGAGGAAGGGGCGCCGATCGTGAGGCTGCCCCTCCTCTTCCCTGCCTCAGAGATGACCCTATTAGTCATCTGCCAAGGCCCATAGATAGATAGATGGATAGATAACAATGGATGAGCCACTAGGAAGTAAATACTTTAAACCAGGGGTAGGCAACCTGTCCCCTTTAAGGGCCGAGGGACTTCAGCTCCCAGTAGCCTCAGCCATGTTGGCCAATAGTCCCATGTTGGCCAATAGCTCCTGGGATTCTGGGAGCTGAAGTCCCTCGGCCCTTAAAGGGGACAGGTTGCCTACCCCTGCTTTAAACTTTAAACAATGGTTTGTTCTGGTACACAATATAATGGCTGGGTTAAAACAAATCCATTAGGAACATAAGGGGTACATGACAATGGTCATGTTTATGATCAATGCAACTGCTTATTTTTTGAAAATTAATATGTGATAATATTAAATCATAATTTGCATAAAAACTATTTTTCAGAGACATGATATAAAATTTCATATATCATAAACATGAGCACTCCTTTAAGCACCGGAAACATTTTCAGAATATTTGTTTATAAGCAAGAAGCATAAAACTCAAATGGGGCATTTTTGAGAGGGGATCAATATTTAGGCACTATACATGTCCATGTATGTTTGATACTTTTTACACAAAGTATACAATTTAGTAAGTAAATGAATCTTGGTTTAACTGGTCCTTTGAAAGAAATTTTTCTTTAAAGTAAATATTCACAGAGTGATTCCACTGCTTCTGTTTCTTGTGACATTTTAAACTGGAATTAACATTAGTTGTGTGGCACAATTAATAAGGTTAAAAATAATTGAAAATGTTTGTTACAGCCAAAAATATATTGTTTTGAGAGAACCAACAGTTTAAATCTAAAATAAATAGTATCTAGTCTAGAAGAGCAGAAGGGAAATAGCAAAAGGGTAAGTGATCATATTTTGAATAAACAAACATTTCACATGATTGTGTGTGTGCATGTCTGTGTGTGCATGTCTGACTGACTGCCATCATCACCTGTCAGTTTATGGTGATCCCATGAATTTCAGAGGGTTTTCTTAGGCAAGGAATGCTCACAGGTGGTTTTGTCAGTTCCTTACTCTGAAATACACCCTAGAGCACATGACATTCATTGGCACTTTTCCATCCAAGTACTAACTGGGGCTGACCCTGCCTAGCTTTCAAGATGAGATGGGATATGGTGCCTTCAGGGTATTAATCAGAAATAAATAAATCTGGATAGTTTTCACTACTTATGTTGTGTATTCCAGTCACAGAATACTTGAAATAAATCCCATCAAAAATTAAAGGAGCATTTTTTCAACAGAAGCAAACTATTCAGAATCTCAAAATTGCACACAAGACTAGAGCATTAGACACCATACACTGCACCCAAGAAAAATAATATTTGGTTTTCCTTAGCTGTTCCTGGGCTGAGAGAGAAGGCATGGTGTGGGCTAGGGTTAATTGTCCATTCTGCCTTTTCAATCCAGTTATTCTGCAGAAACTGGGTGTGTATTCAGATGCTTTGGAGTAGCAAATGAAATTCTAAGGATGTTGAGGGTTTATCCTGACCCCACCTGAAAAGGTAAGATATAAATAAAATTAATGAATGGAAGTTAAATGCTTTGGTGTTTTTTTGAGCAGTTGGAAATAACGCCTAAAATATTATTCTCTTCTGGCTGGGAAGACTCAGATTCTTTGCCCTGTTTGCTACCTGTCACTCAAGAGTAGCCAGTACTTCTTGCTTAGCAGATTATGAAAAAAAGGATGAGAAAAATACCAGGACAAACTGGATTGATTGCCTTACCTCTGGGCTCAGAGGTGTCTCACCTTTGCCATGCTGGAGGGGAGGCAAGATTGCACCTGCTTCAGCATATACTGCACAGCTGTGCTACAGATCAGAATTGGATGGTTAATAAAAGTGACTATCTACACAATGAAAATGAAGTGGTTTCATTCCATTTTAAACAATACTTGTTTAAATGACATGCATGGTCAAAACAGGAGGAAACCGGGATGAAGCCATGATCTGGGGCTAAATACCAGAGCAAAATAACCCCCAATCAAGCCAGAAAATGCAAATTATTGCATCAGTGTGTGGACTGTGGACCAGTGCTGTGAAGGGAAGGGACTGGTGAGCCACTAGTGCAATTTCTGGACATTGTTTTTGTTGTTTTCTCTCACCTGCCCACAAATTGATCACATATATACATGAGTGGTCAGCTGCATCCTCAAATCATCACACACCATGAAGTGAAATGACTACAAACATGGCAGTTCGTTAACAATACAATCGATTTAATAAGAACACAATGAGCTGATTCTCTAAACATCATACACTTAGAGATCAATGATGACACTAACAAAATTTCAAAAATATATCATAATGACTTCCAGTTGATAATTATTACTTTACGATACCCCCTCATAAGGTTCAATCTGCAGGCTTCTATGATATCAGGTATTTGGAGGGTCAAAAAACGTTGGGAAAATGTGTAAATCTGGATCGTAACTACATAGAGATAAGTTAACAACTACAAATGAAAGCAAACTTTCTGTCCAATTTTTTAAAAGGTGGCAATTAAAACTTTACAATACCCCCTCATAAATGTGTTGTATGGGTGAGTAATCACTTGTGAAATCAAATCACTAGTTATACAACTGACTGCATAGGATATCAAATAAGCTGGCAGCTGGCTGGATCATAGGAGTGATTGGTGGCCACTGGTGGTGGGTTCGTACAATGTGGAAGAGGGAAAATATAATAGTGTGGTACAGTTTATACCTGTAAATGCCTTGTTTTGGCTGGTTTGTTCTTCCAGAAATTGTATGGCAGTGCTCACATTCCTAGAGAAGTCAGATCTGGATACAGTGGTACATCCCTTGGTTTCATCCTGTTTGGATTACTGTAATGCACTCTACGTGGGGCTGCCTTTGAAAAGTTCTCAGAAAATTCAGTTGGCCCAAAGAGCTGCATCCAGCAACAGCTCCATTGGCTGCCGGTTCATTTCTGGGCACAAATCAAAGTGCCACTTTTGACCTATAAAAGCCTATACCAGGGGTAGGCAACCTTTCCCCTTTAAGGGCCGAGGGACTTCAGCTCCCAGAATTCCAGGAGCTATTGGCCAACATGGGACTATTGGCCAACATGGCTGAGGCTTCTGGGAGCTGAAGTCCCTCAGCCCTTAAAGGGGAATGGTTGCCTACCCCTGGCCTATACAGTTTAGGTAAAAGTTATTTGAAGGACCATGGCCTGGAACAGATGGGCAGGAAGGAGCTGCTTTCGGCTGCTTTGGAGGTGGGACATGCAGACAATGTATGCACCAGAGTGGCTCAAAGCCATGTGGAGAGCATGCCCAGCCAGGAAAAGCCAGCTGCAAAAAGAGTAGCAGAAAGCCACTCCTTGCTGGCAACCTGTTTAGGGCTGTGAAAGTGGCCACCTTTGGAACCATGCTATCCAGTCACTGTGGTCCCACACTGATTGGGGTCTCACTGGTGCTGGAGCAGCCAGAGGCTGGTCCAAGCTGCCAGTCTGCATGATCCCAATATCCCCCTTTATGTGCCCATTAGAATATTAAGATTGCCAGAGATATCTTTCTCTCTGTCCCACCACTCTCTCAGGCTTGTTTGGTTGGAACAAGAGAGAGGACCTTCTCATTGGCTGTTCCTGGCCCTGGAACTCCCTCCCTAGAGAGGCTAGGATGCCCCTGTCCCTGTTCTCCTTTTGGTAGAAGATAAAAACATACTTGTGTCATCAGGCTTTTTCAAACTGACAAGGGTTGGGTTATAGATGTTGTTTAATTCACATTTAAAAGTTGTATAGAGTTCTTAATATGTTTTAAAAGTTAATGCATAATTGTTTTCACTTAATAATAATAATAATAATAATAATAATAATAATAATAATAATTTATACCCCACCCCTCTGTTAAAAACAATTGAGGCATCTTACAACGGTTAAAATTGCACCAAGAATACAGAATAAAAAGCCCCAAACCCCACCCTTCCCCTTTAAAAAAGTATTAAGCAGCACATCATAAAAATCAA